TGTTGTTGTTTTTTCTTTCAAAGGATGAATTTATTAAAGTGATTTTTTAGGTGATCAATACTCTGTTGACCCCAACCTTTTACATGGCATTCTCACATTGGATTCTAAAACATTGCTGCATTTCTTAATGCAATGATGTGGTGTATATATCATGTCTGATTGGGAAAAAAAAAAGTTGAGAGAAATCTGGGATAAGTAGCACTATTCATTCGTATAATGGAGAATGCTGCGGCTGGTTGAATTCTTGGACCCTATTGGAAGTCACGAAAGAACTATTAAGCATTCAAGTTTCACATGTGCAAAATTTTAGGTGTTATGCTTGCCAAAATTTGAAGCATTTTACTTTATTCGGTTAAATCCTCATCAATGCTATGTTTCACAGGTGCTATGCTGCGTATCTTGGAATATGCTGATCTGGCAGTATCGTATCCTGATATTCAGTTCTGGAGGCGAGCTTCTGATCCTGTCCTTGCTCGCGATCCTTTTTCATCATTGATGTGGGTTCTTTTTTGTCTTCCATACCGATTTTTATCATGTGAAGATTCATTGTTGTCCCTAGTGCACTTATTTTATGTTGTCTCTGTAGTTCAGGTATGTTAGCGGCACCTCTTCTTCTTTCTTTTTTTTCTCATAATTCTTAAGTAGCATTAAAAACATCTAGTGGCCTAATTCATTATGGTGAATGCAGGGCATAATGACATATTGTGGGAAAAATCAATGTGACATTAGTGGATTAGGTATTGATGATTGCCTGGTTACTGACCTCTCTAAACTTATGGAAGAATCTGGAGCCACTCAGCAATTTTTTGTTTCAAATTATATTGGCTCTTCTCCTAATATCAAGAACATAGTTCGTAGCCTGAGTTTCCCTTATTTGCGGAGGTGTGCATTGCTGTTGAAGCTATTGAACTCCTGTTCCCGAGTACCATTCCATGAAAGGTATAATGTCTTGGATAGATCTCATGCTATTGGTGACATGATGGACACCACTTATGTCGCACTAGTGGAGCTAAATGATGTTCAGGAAATAGAAAGCAAGTTAAAGATTCCTTCTCTGGATGTTATCTTTAAGGATAATGTGGTACGTTCAATAACTCAGAAATGGTTCCATCATTTTCGGAAGGAGTTTGAAGTCCAAAGATTTCAGGGAAGCATGCACTGTATCCCTGCAGTTCCCTTCCAATTGATGCGTCTTCCCCAAGTTTACCAGGACCTATTGCAGAGGTTAGTTGAATTGCTTCTTGGTTTGTTACTGGAGTTCTTGTCTTTTAAAAGGATCTCTCGAGAATTAAAATTTACTCAGAAAGGTTATGTTTTTGCAGGTACATAAAACAGCGTTGTCCTGATTGCAAAAATATCCTTGATGACCCTGCATTGTGCTTGCTTTGTGGGAGATTATGTTCTCCAAGCTGGAAGTCATGTTGCAGGTATGTATTCACTAATATATGTCGTTATTATCAGATAAATTATCCATTTAGGTGCATCCATCAATAGAGAATGTTTATGCCCATTGCTCCATCATTGCTAAATTTGATGTTTTATCTTAGGGAAAGTGGATGCCAAACTCATGCAGTGTCCTGTGGTTCTGGTACTGGTGTATTTCTGTTGATCAGGGTATGCATTGTGGTTCCTTTTTTTAATAATTATGTTTGGAATCCTGCCTTTCAGATCTTTTAATTTTGTTTCTATGTCTATTCTTGTTTGCGGAGATGATTAATTTTTTTTGCTGTGAATCCAGAGGACAACAATTCTGCTGCAGAGGTCTGCACGGCAAGCTCCTTGGCCATCGCCCTACTTGGATGCTTTTGGAGAAGAGGTAATTGGTTTCTGCTATTGTATTCCTCTATTTCTTTCATCATCTTCCCTTGTAAACAATTTGAAATGACAAAATAATCATACCATATTCTAGTGAACCCTTGTCTATCCATCTTACAAATTAGCTGCTCTGATCCTGGAAGTCATACAGGTTTGAGCCTAGGGTCCTTAGAGATATTTTGCATTATAGGACTTTTTAGCAAGTCATTCATCTTTATGGTTTCAAGGGCTTACTTGTGAAATGCCTTTTATTTTTATTGCTTTGGCAAGAGGAGGAATGGGGCATCGGTTTTTAGAGGATGTTCTCATTATGCCATCCACCCACTATAGTTGCATATCTCCTCTTTCAGTTTGGAGTTTTACATCTATAGAATGAAGCAAAAGAATGTTTGATACTGCATTTCATGGAGCTCCTTTCAGGCAGTTTAGATATTTCCCCTTTTCTGCCACTTGAACTGCTGTTTAATGGTATTCCTTTGCACTTGTAAGTAGGAGGTCTCAGGTTCAACTCCCAAGGGAAATACTTAATTATGGCTAGCCCATTGTGTGGCTTAGCTCAAATCTCCAACCCCCAAGTCAAATAAAAAAAATAAAAAAGAAAAAAGAAATTTCCCCCTTTTATTGCATACGGTTTTTCTGAATAAAATGCAAAAGTCGCTTTGCAGTTTTATTCTTCCATCAGCCCAAAACCCTCAAAAAGAAAATGTAAAATGGAAGACGAAGATGTTGGAAGTAGTACTTGTGGACGCTCCTGTTCTTATTTGTGCTTTTAGTGCATTCATTGATTTCTAGGGGTTTATGCTTTCTGTGTATCATATTGTAAATTTTGTTATTGCAGGATGTTGAAATGCACAGAGGAAAGCCACTGTACTTGAACGAGGAACGCTATGCAGCTTTAACTTACTTGGTGAGAATCTTTTGCCACGTTCTTAATTTTGCATAATGTTTTCTTTAATGTAGTAAATGTTGAAGAAACCCATTGTCACTCAACAGTTTATGGTAATCTCGTTATTCCCATTGTACCCTCATTACTCATTTAAGAAATAAATCTGAAAAAAAGAGTTTGGCCCCCTCTCTCACGCTCCCTTCTACCCTCCACTTCGAGCCCTTTGCCTCACCCCCACCATCCACTTGGAGCCCCTTGCCTACCCCCACCATCCATGATTTGTAACTAAACCTTGTGTTGAAATTTCTCAAGTGAAGGGCATGTGTTGAGCTTTATCTGCAAGTTCATTTTGAAGAATCCTTAATTTATACGTTCCAAACTTCAAATTGAAACTATTTCCTGTTTTGGATCTAAGTTTTATGGTAAATGGTTTATGTTTTGCATGGAAGGTTGCTTCTCATGGCCTTGATCGAAGCTCCAAGGTCCTTGGACAAACTACAATTGGTTCTTTCTTCATGGTTTAGTTTGGATTTTTAGGTAAAGACAATCATGAACTTCATGGATGGTAGTTCATCATGTTACCAAGTTCCGTGTTAGTCCGATTTTATTCACGATGCTGAATGTTCTCTTTTGGCATCTCAGGTGGTATATATGTTTGACGCAGATTGATGGCAAAGGATTCTTGATAGCAGCAGAGAATATCCACTTCTGACAATAAATCTGGACCTTGGATCAATGGTTCAGTTAACTGCACATTGAGGTTAGTGGCTACAGGTGATCCTATAATTATTCCAATTCTGAAAAATACAGAACACTCTTTGTTCTCTTTATCATCACCGTTGCTTTTAGTTTGCTTGTTAAATCGTACTGTTACTAAATATCTTGTTACCTACACCGGCAGATGCTTGGGGTATTCCTCTCAGCAGGTTGAAAATTTGGTCCCAAGGGAAGACCAGTTTGTCGGCGGCAGGTTGTTCCATCCGTTGTTTTATGCATGTACAGTTCGATATGATGCTGAAAGCTGAAGGCTGGCTGCAAACTATCTTCACAGGGAGTTGTCCATCAAACGGTTGTACATAAAAGTTATACCATCAGTCATGAGCCACTGATTTCTGGGTAGCGGCATTTGCATGCTTTAGGATTTGAGGAAAGGAGCCCCCGCTCGGTCGCTCGTCCGCTCGTTCTCTCACTCTCTGTTATTTAATTTGTTAAAAAGCATTCTTTTTATCTCCAGAGAGCTGAGGGGGAGGGAGGGAGGGAGGGAGGGAGGGGGAAGATGGAGAGTGTGACTTGTGTACTGTTAATAGAGACTTCCAGTTGTTAAAAGGCATTTCCTTTGATTTCCCTTAAAGGTTTCCATAGCGCTAAAGTTTGAAAATAAAAAGAATTGGCTTCGAGTTTAGGCTAATATTTACACGGTACGTCCTTTTACGCACTCCGGCAAAATGGTCGGAAAATGAATTGCCATCAAATTTTCAGATGCTGTTCATGCTCGACTCCAGGTGCTTGATCAAGATCTGAGTTTCGCTGTGTTTTGAGATGTGATGCGTTGAAACTTAACTAATTAAGCTTAAATGTTTTTTATAATCTTTTAAACCATTATTTTGTTTTGGAAATTATTATCACAACAGAAATTCCTTACACCCAATTAAATTAATAAAAGCACCTTTTACCATGTTGAGTTTGATCGTATGTTCCAATTGGAAGATCGATCCAGATTTTTATTCGCCTTCCTAGACTTTTTAGTTTGATTTGGCTCAAACCAATTTTTCCTCACCACTAAGTAATGGTGATGCTCATCACCTTTTTTATCATTGTTGAATGAGTTTAAATTTTGAGATCGGTGTAGTAAATAGACACAAATTTCAAAAAGTCGGTGAGCAAAAACTGCACCAAAAAAGAAGTGTGTTCATGGTACGACTAGATCATTAACATTTTATTGATGATTAAATAGTATAATCTTCAAATAAAGCATCACGGATCAAATCCCCAGGATTCAAAGGGAATCATGCTCATTTTAGCTAATCCATTTTGAATGAATACTAATGATGTTTTAAGCTAAAAAAAATGCAACCGTGTTGATAAAACTTTATTTTTTATTTATTTTTTATTTACTGATGAAATTATAGTGCGTTCAAAGGGCCACAATCATAGATTCCGCCCCAGACCCATAAACCTAGGTCGGGAACCAATGTAACCCTAAATCAAAAGCAAAAGACACACATTCACTAAGCCCAATACTACCTATTTTCTACCTCTTACATGATATACCATCAAACAAAACCAGAGAAGCAGCAAACTATCTAGTGAGAAGATTAGTGAGATTTCTTCCACTTCTTAGACTATTAGAATATGACCAGGTAGCACAAGCAAGAGCATTCGCCACGCGAGTAATGTAGGGCTTGACATAAGCACATTGAGAGGTGAGAGGGCCTTTGCTTCCGATGTACGTGAGGTCCACGTCAGTCAACCCGACTCCATCACACGGTATTTTTCTACTGCACATAAGCTTGACTGCAACTGGGGTTGCAGATGAGCCCTTGATGTTGGTGAAACTGATGTCGCTTATCTTGACTTTGGATGGATCATCTTTTCCACAATAAGTGTAAGGGCAGTACTCTTGGTCTATAGAAATAGGGTTACTAACATTTACCATGTTAATATCTTGAAAGTGAATATGCGAGGCAGTTGTAAATGTTGGAGAACCCGGCCATGTTTTGATTCTCACACCATTTTGTGTGTTAGTGAGTGTGCAGTTCTTCACTCTGACTCCAACCACGGGCTCTTCGTCTGGATACTTTCCTAGGCTCCCGATGCTTATGCCATGCCCTGGTCCACAAGTAACGTTGGTCACGACAATGTTCTGGCTACCGTCACCAAGAGAAATGCAGTCGTCGCCTGTTCCAATTATTGTGTGATCAATGGTGACCCCAAACGATCTCCCGATGTGAATTCCATCTGTGTTGACACTGTCTTCAGGTGCGGTGATAGTAACATATTGGAATGTAACATTGCGACATGCAAAAACATTGATGTGGAAATTTTTGCTATCTAGTGAAGTTATGCCCTCGATCACTGAATTTGTGACAAAATCAAACCTCAAATTCTGCATTAAAACAAAACAAGTATTAGCGACATATAATTAAATAAACGATAAAAATCGACTTAAGTAAACAAAAGCAAGGATTGATTACAATGTCCTTACAAATACTCTGTTGGATTGGCAACTTTTATATTTGTGGCAATTACTTTGGCCATCAAAAGTTCCACCACCAAATAAGGTGAGCCTGTCAACGTATTGAAAGCCAACCCAAGTATTCTGTTGAAGGAGTTGGCTGCTTTCTTGTGGAGCACGCAAATACCCTTGAACTTGAACCTCAATGGGAGATTTGCATGGACCATGTAAAATTGCTCCTCTTAAGTAGTATTCCCCTTCTGGAATAACAACTTTGGCTGGCCATGGCGATGAACAGGCAGCTCTCCAAGCGTCAGCCAAAGCAAGCGTAATATCGCCGCTAGGGTTTCCTCCATATGTTGAATTTGTCACATAAAAGACTTCGGCTTTCGCATTAGCAATAGATGCTAAGAATAAGAACACAAAAGCCCAATAGCCAACTGCATTAAAAAATCCAAATTAAAACAATCAGTTTCAATTCCATAAAGTTCCGTATCAAATTTTCGTATAATAAATTGAACAAAGATAGAGTTTGTACCGGAAAACAAAAAATTGGGAACAAGTATATAACTTTCATATCGAATTTGGAAACGAAAGGTCATGCAGACGTACCCATTAAGTTAGAGCGACAGGAGCTTGAGGTTGCTTGAGAATGCGAAATAGAGCTGCTTTGCATGCTATCTGAACTGTTGTCAACAATTCTTTGTAACTTTGGATGGACTGTTGAGTTCTTTCAAGGTAGTAATTTGAGAGAAGGAAAACTGCATGTATTTATAGGAGTTGAATTTTCTTTTGAATCGAGAATGCTATGACTTAAATGGAAGTTTAGGGTACGCAACAAAATAATATAAATACAATAAAAATATACGGTCTAGAATAAGAAAATATGGACAAATGGGTAAGAAGTCCTAAAAGTGCTTATTTCTTCTCTTGCAAAAAAAGTGCTTTTTTAGGGAGTTTTTATCTTGCTTATTATTTTCAACCTTTAAGAAAAGTGTTTTGATTGTGTTGAGGCTCGAACAAGAAATTTTTCTGCTAAAAAGTTAATTAAGTGCTTCATCCCCCGATAAAAATGGGGTTAAGTGGGATATGCTTCATATCCCTGTGAAGAAAACGACATTAAGTGATGGGAGCTTTCCTTACAATGTGTAAATTCATGCCAAAAACCTAAAGAAGTTGGATAATACCCAATTACACTGAAATAAAATAAAATTTTATTTTATATGAGATATAAAAAGTTAGCTTTCTTATTTTTTGCAAAAGAAAAAAGTTAGGCCTAATTGGATAAATGATCCTCGTGGTGATATGGTACTCAGAGGATAGTCCATGTGATAAAAAATTCAGATTTAAACTCTTGTGGTGAAGTCCGTTAAGAATTAAGCCCAAAATCAAAATTTCTGTTAGTTTCTTCATCAAGTTGTGTGTGTGTGTGTTTTTTTTTAAAGAAACATCTAGTTTCATAGATATGCAGCAAGCTCCTTTTGCCAATGGATCCGACTCTAGATCTTCTTTGCTTCATTACTTTTACATGCTTGATTTTTATTGTAATAAGCCCATAGCCGAACAACTAGCATGCTTGCTTTCATTTAGTTTTGATATCAAATTATCATGAGTGAATATTCAGTTGCAACTAGAAGAAGCTTCGGCCATTAGGTACTTACTTTCATCGCTCTGCGCTCCTTCACAAAAGATTGTTGCACTTTATCCTTCAAGTAGTCAATTTTTTGTGAGAAGTAAAACTCAGGTGCACATGATTTAATCGAAAAATATTTCTTGCAGAATGGTACCCACTTTCTTGCAAATTCAAATGTCTCGGCAAGAGATTCGAAGGTAAGCATGGCAACACCATCGTCAGATACATAGCAGGAAACTTTATCCACAGGGCAGTCTACAGCAAGGATGAAGCCAATAAGATTTTAAGCTAGATCCCTTGGCAAAGGGAGCTTGTTGCATATCTATGAAACTAGATATTTCTCTTCTGGGATAAGAAGAAGAACTTAACAGACAAACTAATTAACGAAAATTTTGATTTGGGCTTAATTCCTAACGAACTTCACCACATGGGTTTAAATCCGAATTTTTTTACCACAAGGATTATCTTCCAATTATCATATCACCATGAGGACCATTAATCCAATTAGACCAAAAAGTTATTACTCGAGGAAAACTCATGTTTTGTGACGTAAAATTTTTATTTGTTGTTGTTACTAGCATTACTCATAGAAGTGATTTGAGGAACGCACAAAACATGTTTCACTCCATGTAACAATATCTGATGTCTAGGGCCTACCGACTTGGACCGGCCCAAGCAATAACGTGAATCCGGTTCAAGCCCTGAGACCATTGGACCACCCTAGCGACCTACCGACCAAAAAATTAATCCCAGCTTCAAATTCCTTGAATAATACTACGAAATCTCTTATTTTTCACCTTTTTATAAATGAAAACTAAATACGACCATCTCCAATCCTTTAGTTAAAACCTAAAATTTTGGTTTAAAACTAACTCAATTCTTTTCCAAGAGTTGAGCCTAAAATAAGTTTTGAGTTAAAAACTAAAATTTTGGCAAATTTAACCCAGAATTCCGGCCAGGGAAGGCTGGCCCACCTTATGCACATGGACACACCCATAAAAGTGGAGGCCACAGTAAGGCAACGCGCCCATCACGTGAAGGCTAACTGAATGTGGAGCCCGCTCCTAACGAGAATGTTAGGCCACCCACCCAAAACGAGCCAACAACTCTTTTCAAACCGTCGGTTTTAATTATTGGACCGTTGGATTCAAACCTATTTAATTTTTTAAATTTTAAAATTTTAAATCCAATGCTGAGATTGAATATAATCAAATATACAACAACAACAACAACAACAAAGCCTTTTCCCACTAAGTGGGGTCGGCTATATGAATCCTAGAACGCCATTGCGCTCGGTTTTGTGTCATGTCTTCCGTTCGATCCAAGTACTCTAAGTCTTTTCTTAGAGTCTCTTCCAAAGTTTTCCTAGGTCTTCCTCTACCCCTTCGGCCCTGAACCTCTGTCCCGTAGTCACATCTTCGAACCGGAGCGTCAGTCGGCCTTCTTTGCCCATGTCCAAATCACCGGAACCGATTTTCTCTCATCTTTCCTTCAATTTCGGCTACTCCTACTTTACCTCGGATATCCTCATGCCCAATCTTATCCTTTCTCGTGTGCCCACACATCCCACGAAGCATCCTCATCTCCGCTACACCCATTTTGTGTACGTGTTGATGCTTCACCGTCCAACATTCTGTGCCATACAACATCGTTGGCCTTATTGTCGTCCTATAAAATTTTCCCTTGAGCTTCAGTGACCTACGACGGTCACATAACACGCCGGATGCACTCTTACACTTCATCCATCCAGGTCGTATTCTATGGTTGAGATCTCCATCTAATTCTCCGTTCTCTTGCAAGATAGATCCTAGGCAGCAAAAACGGTCGCTTTTTGTGATCTTCCCTAGATTGCTCCGGTCATTAGTGTGGATAAGTATATAAATGGATAGAGATAGGAAAGCAAACACAAGATGTACGTGGTTCACCCAGATTGGCTACGTCCACGGAATAGAAGAGTTCTCATTAATTGTGAAGGGTTTACACAAGTACATAGGTTCAAGCTCTCCTTTAGTGAGTACAAGTGAATGATTTAGTACAAATGACATTAGGAAATATTGTGGAGAGAATGATCTCGTAATCACGAAACTTCTAAGTATCGGAGTGTGGTATCGTCTTGACTTGCCTTATCTGTCTCATAGGTAGATGTGGCATCTTCTCTGGAAGTACTCTTCCTCCATCCAGGGGTGGTATCTTTAACTGGTGGAGATGCACAAGGTAATGTATCAATTTCACTTGAAGCTTACTTGTAGTTTCAGGCTTGGTCAAGCGCGATACAAACCATGTAGTAGGAGTCTCCTAAGTCGCCGAGCTAGGGGATCTGCTGAAAGAGGTGACAGACAAGGTAAGCAATCAGAGCTCCGGCTGATTGTTCACCTTCTCCCTATCTTGCAGGCAGCATGAAGGATAAAGAGAAGAAAGATGAGAAGAGATGATATGGGATACTTTTGCTTTTGAAGAAGTAACTTTCCACAGGCTTATTCTTGAACTGAGCTGGAGGGTTTTCTGGTTTCCTCCAGAGCCGACTGAAGAATTTGAGGGTCAAAACAAGTCCATCAAATCTAGAGTACGTTCGACCCTGCTGATATGGGATACTTTTGCTTTTGACAGAGTAATGGATGTATCGGCACGTGTGCTGTTACGCTTGTCTCCACATGCTTCCTTGTATCCTTCGCACTTGCCCTATCTGTTCCTCAAGCAGATGCGGTATCTTCCCTGGAAACATAAGATGTTGAAGATGAGTACTCGAGAGCAATGCCAGGTAAGTAATCAGGTAAGGGGTTCCAGGCAGTCAGTTCCTGGCTGGAAGCTTGATTCCAAGTGCTGACTGATTGCTCTCTTTCTCCTTGTCTTGCAGGTAACAACAAGGCCAAAGGAAAAGACAGGGAAAAAGCATGATATGGGATACTCTTGCTTTTAACCCTGATGATATGAGATATTCTTGCTCTAGTATAGCTTGTTTGCAAAGGTATTATCGGGGGGAAAGAAAGCTGAATATTTCGAAAGGCTTCGTTGGGAGTGCCCTCTCAGATATGAGGAAGGGTTGAACATTTTTGCAGGTCTGCCTGTCCGTTGGAGATGGAGGTCGACATATATAGGAGTCTCCCTAACAACAAGTAGTAATGCTATTCCTTTACCCTGCTTGGTCATAGCACGGTAGTGGGAGCTGCCAGCTTCACATGTTTTAACTCTGTCAGAGCACTTTGAAAAAGTGGTCTGTCGTATCTGGCTCTCGAGAAGTCTTCGACAGAATGCCCATAATTTCCGCAAAGCTGAGTGTGCGTGTGACAGGTGCTGACAAGGCTAGAAAAGAAGGTGCCTCTTCGATTTCTGAGATCGGCCCTCGTGGTCTCTGAGCAGCCCAGCTTTTGAGAAAGCGAGTGTCTCTTCGATTGATTCGGAGAACGATGCATCTTCGATTTTTTAAGAAAGCAATCATGATGGGGGTCTGGCTCTCGAGATTCGGGGAGCAGTGTCACTTCGATTTTTGAGAAAGTAATCATGTTGGGAGTCTGGCTCTCGAGATTCGGAGGGCGGTGCCTCTTCGATTTTGGAGCAAGCAATCTTGTTGGGAGTGTTTTCTCGAATGTGAGTAAAGGTTGGGCATGTTTGCTAGTCTACCTTGCCACGAAGCACAGAGGTTGACACACAGGGACTTTCCAATTATCCAGCAATGGTACTGTTCCTTTACCCTCTCTTCGATTTTTTGAGAAAGTAGTCATGTTGGGAGTCTGGCTCTCGAGATTCGGAGGACGGTGCCTCTTCGATTTTGGAGCAAGCAATCTTATTGGGTAGTGTTTTCTCGAATGTGAGTAAAGGTTGGGCATGTTTGCTAGTCTACCTTGCCACGAAGCACAGAGGTTGACACACAGGGACTTTCCAATTATCCAGCAGTGGTACTGTTCCTTTACCCTTGTGGGTAATAATATGGTAGCTAGACCTTCAAAATTTATGGGTCTAAACTTTGTTAGTGCTGTTTCTTTGCT